ATGGTTATCGTTTTCAGGACTTTTTTCAAAAAATATTTCTTCATTATCATATCCTTGTCGCTTTTGTTTCTGTCTGTGTATTTAGTATTTTTAATTCTATACAATTGATTCGTCATAAGATATGGCCTGATGATGCATGAAAGGTTGAAAGTTCAGCATAGGTCGTCCGAAAAACGAATTAAGAATACCGATGAAGAAGGCAATGATCATAGAATTATCATTGAAAGAGTTGTAGTCATTGTTTTCCAGTTATGTGCATAGGTACAAAACGACTAAACTGAACTTTGATTTGGGCAAAAAGAATTCGAAATCATTATAAATTTCTTCTCAATTTACCTGACTCGATTTCTTTTGATATCGTTTTCCGGATCATTTAATCTAGATTCATTGATCCTCAATGTTGCTGATAAAACTGAAGAAGAAAACAGTAGTGTTGCGAAGTAGTCTTTCATTGATGAAAATGTCACTGTAGGATATAATTAATTTTCATTACATAGCTTCTATGCTATTCACAAAGTATCATTATCTACTTTCTCAAAACACTCTTTAGAGCTATATTGGCTCCGAAAATACATGATATAGCATATCGTAGTAATAGCTAACTAAAGAGCGTTATTTTCCCTGTATGCCAAAAGCACACATGCAAACTGTGTATTGTTAACGATTTCAAAACGAAGAGAATAAGATGGAATAAATTAAAAAAAATTCTTTTTTCAGCACATTTTTTATGCATGATTGTCGGTATCTAAAACTAGGAGAAGAAAACGGAAATATTTTTTAACAAAGCGAGGAGGACGGTAAAGGTATCGTTAATCTTCCTGATATTTTTCAGGCTCTCCTAATATTTATTTCGTATAGGCTTTTTTTCAACTTTATTCACTGCTCAGGAACTACCCAGTTAACTATTTCAGGATAGTCATATAATTATATGAACATGTGTAGCGAGAGCGTCATACATTGTCGACAAATCATGAAAGTTTTCACATATGTATACAACAAATGACGTTTCTTTGAGAAAATATTATGAGAAAGAATATATTGTATTAAAATTCAAATTGAAGGATAATACATATAAGTGCCACGGTATCTCTTCGGACCGCAAGAACCACTAAACATTCAAAGGTCAAAAAAAGTGAGCTGCACGCGTAAACTCCAAACTTGGAGTTAAGATTGAGAAGTTATTATTATTCGATTGTTATTAGTAAAAATAACTCTTTTTTCTGATGAATCTTCAACTTCAATTGCTGTCTATCTCAACTATATCAATTAAATTGATCAATTTTCAAGGAATGACTTTGGTACTGCTATCACATCAATCGATCTAGAAATTTGAGAATTTGCATAGATCATATCAATGAAGATATTTTACATATTTTTTACTGTTCAAAACAATAAAAATTGATAAACTTCTCAGAAAATTTTCATGATTTCAATCCATTAAACTGTTCTTGTTACAATAAATAACAGAAGTTCAGAAATGTGTCTGAACTCAGGAAGAATATTCATTTTAAAATATTTGATAAAAATAGTTCTCTCAGTCAATAGTTCTAGTTTAAAAATTCTGTATGTATTTGATTAGTTTTTTGATGCAGCACTACTTGAAATTATAATTCGAAACGGTCGGCATATTTCGTTACAATAGACAAGATCATTTATTTGAACTAACGAAAAGCTTCTAGATCGATCTCGAAACACATTTGTTTTCTTCTTGTTTCTGCTTTTCTCTTTGATCAAATTTGTTCATCAAAGGAACGATATAGATGAACAGAACTTTGAAATTAAGTTAATTAGATGTTTGTGAAAAAGTAAAATTCATATTAAGTGTTGAGTATAAAAGACTTGATTTTAAGTTAATTTAAGTGGTCCTCCTCTACTGGCAATCATTGACAAACTACACAATCTAGATGTACGTGTGGGTGGGTGTGCAAACGAAGAACACCCACACCCATCCCACCCGGAGTACTATTAATAGATTAACTTTTAGATCGAAATTCGGTCATTGAATTTTCTAGGTAATAAAATTCTTAATCAATCAGGAAAAAGATCCACAATATTGAAGATTTTTTCAGCTCACGCAAAATACATGAAAGCGTTTCTTCGTTAGAAGTATTGTTGATAAGAGGCTGGAATATCGCTTTACGAACAAAATTCCATGCATTGATAGAATCATTTTTTTTCCGTTCTTTATCTTTGTCCTATACTTGGTAATGATGATAAAACGAAAAAAAAACGCATCATTGTGCTACTCAGTGACTTGATTCTATTTCTTAGAATCTCTCACACCTGGGTGTATGCTTTATCATCATCGTCGTTACTATAAAAGTTAATGATATTCAGTATAGTCGTTAATATTTTATTTTATCTAAATCATCATGTCATCTATTGTATCACTCATTGTTCTATTAGCCATTACAGTTGTTCGAGCAGCACCCGTGAAAGATGAATCGTGCGATGTGCAAGCATATCAGGATGGCGATTGTGTGGTTACTGTCTCTATCCAAAATCGTTGCCCGTCAGCTACTGTCGATTTGACTCAACTTGATTTTCTTAAGTCATGCAATTCGGTCAGATTGCGTTGGGCCTATCCTACAAATAATCTGACGTTGATCATCGGAACACAGAAACATCAACCATTCACGATTTCTATTGATAATGATCGACTGATGGGCTTTGTCTCACACGTTTATCGAATTATCGACCATAAAGAAATAGAAGTGACGACGAGAGATCACAAATTGGTTCAAAATTCGGATTCAAACTATCAAATTAAACTCAAATTGAACGCTCCACCGGAAATAATGCCTTATCTAGGCTTTGTCAACTATGATATTTATTAAATAGTGAAATCATATGATTTCACTAAGCATTTGATAAATAAATTTTGTGAAGGAGAGCAAATAATGTCGAATACAAAGATTGGGTGTGGGTGTGACTATGGATGTTGGTCTTCTCTTTAGTTACATACACCCACACCGTGGCAATTTTTTGGTTTTATTAGATATGGCAAAAGATATTTTTAAATTTCTGAGTTGTAAGCGAATCACTGGTAGGACCTAACATTGACACCATTGTGACTATATAACTATTCTACGTTAGATAAAAAAATTCTTTATCCGATGGATAATATAATATATATAATATACTTGTTGATAAGGAATCAATATGAACAAAATCAATTGAACTTTATCAATGATATTTTTAAATGTATGCGATGTTTTTCTCTAATCTCGATTTTTTTTCAAACGACCATCATCGCTAAAATATAATAGAAATTTGATACATTAAGAGAAGAACGAAAAAAAAACCGTAATCTCACGATTTGTAACTTGTGAAGAAATGTCTGTTCGATTAAAGTGATTAGTATTATTTAATTTTCTTTTGATTATTTCAAATAATAATCTTGATATTCTTTTTGACACTATTCATTTTTATTTTAATGTTTTTGATGTATTCACAATAACAGTTTTAAATAATTGAAAAAAATGAAAATAAACCAGATTTTATGTAATATTTTCTTTTTCATACTAAACTAAACCTTTTGCTTCTGTAGCATTATCTATATAAAATGCGAGCTGAAACAAGTGTAGAAGGTATGTTTGGATCTATAAAATTTTCTATCTTGAGGATGGATTCAGTTTTTTGGCGTTATCTCACGAGCAATTTAATCACGACTACTCGAGAACGTCTCATTAGATGAAAAATCGTATAGGCAATGAATTCATTCCATTTGAGGGTGTGAGTGTGGATTTTGGCGCAGAGAAGATTTATGCACACCCACACCCACACCCCCATAAACTCAGTATAATCTGGGGGTCGAAACAAATCCACATCTTGAGAATCTGACCTACCTGTCTAGACCTTTGTATTTTTTTTCACGCCAATATCATAGTGAGAATACAATATATATATATATATATATAAGTGATCTTTATAAAAAGTCCTATGAGTCAATCAATTCAATCCCTTTGCCTATACCAAAGAGTTTCTAATTGAAAAATCTATGAAGATACTAATTAACTGAAGTAAAAAAAACAGATATTAGTCCATTTAAATGTATGTTCTTTCTAACGAACGATTTATTACGATTGAATATCATTCGGCGAAAATTGGCAACGTTCTGAATAAGGAAATTATTTCATGAAAGAGACGGCTACAATGCCCATCTGCCAAAACTACTTACACTCATATAAAAGTTCAAAAAATCCATTCTAAGAGACTAAAGTCATGGTTCTTTCATCAATTTTCAATCTGTAACAAATTAATCATCATAAAAATAAATCCAGTCCAATTGGTCACCGATTCCTAATCTATAAAAACCATATGACTCTACTGGAGTTATAATCAACATCTTGCATAACTTCATTTATAAGGACAAAATCTGCACTCTTCACTACATCAGAAAATTTTATTTCATATATGCTTATACTTTCATCACCGATTAAACAAAAAGCCAACGAATATTGAACTATAGTTTGGAAAGTTAGTAGTTTCAAAGATCTTAAATATTTTTGTGCTGTTTTCTATTCTCATGTTTTGTAATAAAAAATTTTACTGCAAACATCTCTAAATATGAACTTAGAAGAAAATTAATGACATACTGTTAATAGTAAAATTTCACGTGAACACTTGTTTATATTTTTATGCCATCTGATCCTTAATTTTAAGGTCTTGCTTAAATAACAGTGAAAGTGATTATCACTGTGTGTACGTAAAAGAAAAACTGTCCGTTAATTGAATGAAAAACAACCGCAATATAGTAGGAATGTACAAATAATATCAATTTTGAGCTCTATCCTTTTTCAGAATTAATGTTGTCTTTATGTAGCAGCAGTTTTACAGGTATTCACACACACCCACACCCTCATGATTTGAAACCGATCATTGACGAAATAAAACGTGAGATTTTTGGCGATGACAATGCAAGGAGCAATGATGGCACATATGGGCACGTGCTATCCATCATGGCAAAATCGAAAGAAGCCGACAAATACTTCAATCGTATGCTCAGTGAACTGTTTCTTGATCATGAAAATATTGGTTCGTATTATCAGAATCGTGGAATACTGACCAATGTACAAGGAGATTATGATAAAAGTATCGAATTAGAACAAAAAGCACTCGAACTTAAATTGAAAAGACTGAATCCAGATGATCCTCGTATTGGAGGTGTTTTCTGCAATATTTCCAGTATTTATTGTAACAAAGGTGATTATCAGAAAGCGCTTGAAGCATGCAACAAAGTATTGATTATTTATAAGCCGACACTAGGTGATGAACATCTTAAAATAGGCGGGTGCTACGTAAACATGGGTTCCATATACGGTAACATGAAGAAACATTCAATAGCACTTGAGTACTCTCAAAAGGGATTAATCTCTTGAGAAAAACATCTTCCCGAAAATCATTACGATTTAGGTGTATCACATGTTAACATTGGCATGACTCATAAATCTCTCGGTCATTCGGAACTCGCATTGGAACACTTCAATAAGGCTCTCAAAATTTTTGAAAAATCATCTGCTTCTCAACATATCAATTTTGGATATGCATATTGTAGCATTGGTTGTGCTTTACTATGATAAAAGGATGTTCTCAGAAGCACTGTTATACTTTAAAAAGGCTCGCAATATTTATCTTAAGGAATTGCCCTCTACTCATCCTCATGTCATTAAAGTCGACCGTAATATTTAACACATTAGACGATTCAAAAATGCATAATTATTCTCGTTCTATGAAAACGACTTTTATTTTGAGTTTTTTCATGTAAAGAAGATGTGAAATTAATGAAATAAATACTTATCATTCATTTTAGAACTATTCCATAATGATTAGTATCAAGATAATATTTTATACAAAATATAAAGGGTGCGTCATAAGGATGGGTGCCGGCGTGGGTCTGTGAGTGAATGAGTGGCAGATATGAGTATGGGATGCCTCTTTTGTCCATAGTTCGACAACTAAATCTACACCTACACCTCTGATGCCTGGTGCAAAGAAGGAAAATAATACTTCAAACAATACATTTTTAAGATATATTCTAATTTACAAGCTTATAGATAAATAAAGATCCTAATGTTTAAATCAGAATTACAAGTGTGAAGTATCAAGACGAAAAAAGGCTATCCAAACTATCGTTTGGATGGGTCGAACATCGTTTCACTACGTTTGAATAAAAATGTACACAATTTCTAGGGCGATATTCAAAAAGGGCACGAAATTTCAGTCCCAGAAATAACTTGTAACTAGACGGTTATGCTTGGTAATGGCTCAAAAGTTTACAAACATTTTATCTGCAAATTGTCCGATCATCTGTTAATGCATTTTTGTATAAAATACACACACATCTTTCAAAAATCTCATCAGAGAATGAATGGATGGGTGCACGGCAAAGTGGACAGAGAACAAAGATCAGGCAAGAAAATCTTTTTAAATTTCAGATGATCGTTTCTAACATATCATTTTAAGCAAAATGGTTATACGCATTTCATACACTATCAGATAGAGTTAAATTGAGACTCCTCATACTTCATGCTATCGAGAAAATGAAAATACATCAAATTTTTGTAGCACAGTTGTCTACTGTGGTCGCCGAATCTTCTAGTCCAAAGCCCTGACTCTGCCACTGCGCAGAATGATAAACAGTACTTTCTTTCATATTCCACATGTATTCTATGCGTCTTAGTATACATTTCCCAAATTACAGAACGTCATAATCGTTGAAAAGATAAGTTTCTATGTTTTGATGGATGCATTCCTTTCCGTTCTTTTCCATGAGTACTTTTCTACCGGGTACATGCTATAAGAAGACCATGAAGTATCTCTGAGTTTTGACATACAAAAACAAGAAGCTTAACATTGATTTAGTGTCATAATAATTCATTCTGATAGATACATGCAAAGTACTATCTCAAAAAAATATTGTTTTTGTGCTTGAAGAATATATTAGAGAAAGAACTCTTGTTATTTGTTTGCTTCCCTTGCATCGATCATCGTGATAAGAAAAAAAAACATAATTTCTTCGATAACCAGTCAGAAAATGGAATAAGCGCGTATAAAAAAAGATGCGAGTAGTAGTGGATGAAGCAGAAAGGGGAAACTTGGCATATAGAACGGAATAGCCAAAATAAGATTCGCCATGAATCAAGATGATATTTCTCTCCTCGCATTATTATTGTTGGTGTTGATACGTTATTTCACAAGAGAGAACGAAGACTACGATTCAGTTTCCTTGTCATGTCATGCCGACGTGGAAAGCAACTATTCTCATCTCAACGATTATTAATTGAGAGGAACAAAAATATAAAGCAATAATATTTGCTATTTTTACGTATATGTTATTAAATAAACTATTCTAAAAGTATCAACGATCATTTATTGATCATTTTATTTTTTTTATTTAGCAAAATGAAGCAACTTTTCGTCATTTATTTCTTGATTATTGGTTTTGTATTCATACAAATCGTAGAAAGTACTCAAAATGTAAATGTTGGTAAGATTGGGTTTTCTTCTATAAATATTAAATAAAAATTGTTTCGTTATTAGATAATCGAACGCGCTTAGTTGTGACTATATTTGAAGAACCGTTTATGATGTTAAAAAAGAACCGTAATAAAACAGTAAATGAAACAAGTATTTCACGTGGTGATATTCTTGATCCATCATTAGTTGAAGGTTACTGTGCTGATTTAGCATATATTATATGTCATGATAAATTAAAATTACCATATAAATTTCTTATTGAAACAAAATATGGAAGTGAAATAGAAAAAGGTGTTTGGAATGGGATTATTGGAACATTAATTAATCGTGAAGCTGATTTATCTATAGCACCATTAACTATAACAGGAGCACGAGAAAAAGTAGTCGATTTTTCAAAATCCTTTATTGATTTTGGTATATCAATAATAATACGTAAACCTAAACAACAAAAATGTAGAACATTTTTATCTATGCTACCACGTCCAATAGAAATCGAAATTTTTGCTATTATTTCTTATATAGTTGTTCGTATTTTTTCGTTTTTTATCAGTCGATCTTCATCTTATTTATGTCGTTTTGAAAGTAAAATAGATGGTGGTCGACAAGATAAGCTTTCTATACAAGATGCATTATTTTTATCATTATCAGTTTTTATGCATCAAAATGTTGATCTTTTACCACGATCATTGTCAGGTTTGTTAAAAATTTTCTTACTATTTTATTCATTAGTAAAAAAATAATATTTAAAATGTTAATCTTATGATAATCTGTAAATTATATAACGGAAATTCGAAAGTCGATGTAGTTTATTTTAATTTGGTTTATTTTTATTCATTATAAATGATATTTCTTTTTAGGTCGAATGGCAGCAAGGGCTTGGTTGTGTTTTAGTTTAATAATTGTATTATTATGTGCAATTAACTTTATAGTGTTTTTAACATATGAAAAATCAGTACGACCAATTGAAACAATTGAAGATCTGGCTAAACAAACAGAAATTCGTTATGGAACAATAAGAAATAGTTCAACAATGACTTTTTTTAATAAATCGACGTTCACAACATTTAAACATATGTGGAATTTTATGGAACAACATAAAGATGATGTCTTTGTTGCATCAAATCGCGAAGGTATTGAAAAAGTTCGACGATCAAAAGGTACATTTGCTTTTCTAACTGAATCAACATTCATTGACTATGCCAATAAACGTGTGCCATGTGATACAATGCGTATTGGTGAAAATCTTAATACAAAAGACTTTGGAATAGCTACACCATTGGGTTCAGATTTACGTGAAGCAATACATACAGTTGTCTTGGAATTAAAAGAAAATGGATTTCTTGAACGTTTAAAACAAAAATGGTATTATGAAAGAAGTGAATGTACAACTATTGGTGCAGAATATTCGAAACCTACAACACAATTTAATTTAGTTAATGTTGTAAGCATATTTTACATTGTAATTATGGTTCTTGGCATAGCAATGGTTATTACAATTTTAGAATTTTTACTTAAAGCAAAAATACGTTCGAATCGGTTAAATTAACATAAAGGAGATGCTACGTGTCCAATATTAGAATCAACAACGACAACTATTGATTCGAATTCAAAACAACAAAATGCAGATTGTTTACCATCACAACCATCGGAATAACAACCATAGCAAGATATTTCGATATCCAATATTCGAAATACTCAGCCAATATCATCAATCATTAAAGTATTGGATTTACCCAGAAATCGAGATTCGACTGACTTAAATGAATAAAAGAATATTAATTGTTGTTTGATAAATCCCGATCATATTTTTCATTCATTAAAAATTTAACTCTATATTGATGTCTAGTATGCTGTGCGTGTCCGCTTTATCAAATTCGAGCCCGACTATGTGTGTGGGTGTGGGTGTGGGTATGCATGTATGTCTGATCTTGCCAAACACCAACACCCACACCCTCTATACCGTGTGAAGTGGCGAGCGATTGTCTTTCGTGTTCTCTCGATCAGATTGGGACAATTTGTTCAACAAGCCAATAAGAGGATCTCATTCCAACGTCTGAAACTTGATCGAGAGAAGAAAGAAGAAGTCAATTCGAACAGGAAGTGCTTAAGGTAGAGGGCTGCAGGGTGCAGGATTTTTATAACCTGTAACCTGCCCTGTAAATTTTTTGTAACCTGATCCTGCCCTGCCCTGTGAATATTTTTGCGGACCCTGCCCTAAAACTTTCTAATG